ATACACTATATTGCCAAAAGTATTTGCTCACCTGCCTTGACTCACATATGAGCTTAAGTGACATCCCGTTCCTAATCCATAGGGTTCAATATGACGTCGGTCCACCCTTTGCAGCTAGAACAGCTTCAACTCTTCTGGGAAGGCTGTCCACAAGGTTTAGGAGTGTGTTTATGGGAATTTTTGACCATTCTTCCAGAAGCGCATTTGTGAGGTCGCACACTGATGTTGGACGAGAAGGCCTGGCTCTCAGTCTCCGCTCTAATTCATCCCAAAGGTGTTCTATCGGGTTGAGGTCAGGACTCTGTGCAGGCCAGTCAAGTTCATCCACACCAGACTCTGTCATCCATGTCTTTATGGACCTTGCTTTGTGCACTGGTGCACAGTCATGTTGGAAGAGGAAGGGGCCAGCTCCAAACTGTTCCCACAAAGTTGGGAGCATGGAATTGTCCAAAATGTCTTGGTATGCTGAAGCATTCAGAGTTCCTTTCACTGGAACTAAGGGGCCAAGCCCAGCTCCTGAAAAACAACCCCACACCATAATCCCCCCTCCACCAAACTTTACACTTGGCACAATGCAGTCAGACAAGTACCGTTCTCCTGGCAACCGCCAAACCCAGACCCGTCCATCAGATTGCCAGATGGAGAAGCGCGATTCGTCACTCCAGAGAACGCGTCTCCACTGCTCTAGAGTCCAGTGGCGGCGTGCTTTACACCACCGCATCCGACGCTTTGCATTGCACTTGGTGATGTATGGCTTGGATGCAGCTGCTCGACCATGGAAACCCATTCCATGAAGCTCTCTGCGCACTGTTCTTGAGCTAATCTGAAGGCCACATGAAGTTTGGAGGTCTGTAGTGATTGACTCTGCAGAAAGTTGGCGACCTCTTCGCACTATGCGCGTCAGCATCCGCTGACCCCGCTCCGTCAGTTTACGTGGCCTACCACTTCGTGGCTGAGTTGCTGCTGTTCCCAAACACTTCCATTTTCTTATAATACAGCTGACAGTTGACTGTGGAATATTTAGGAGCGAGGAAATTTCACGACTGGATTTGTTGCACAGGTGGCATCCTATCACAGTTCCACGCTGGAATTCACTGAGCTCCTGAGAGTGACCCATTCTTTCACAAATGTTTGTAAAAACAGTCTGCATGCCTAGGTGCTTGAATTTATACACCTGTGGCCATGGAAGTGATTGGAACACCTGATTCCGATAATTTGGATGGGTGAGCAAATACTTTTGGCAATATAGTGTATGTCTTTTTCTTTGCCACTCGGCCCTGAAGGCCAGAATCCCGCAGCCGCCTCTTCACTGTAGATGTTGACACTGGTGTTTTGCGGGTACTATTTAATGAAGATGCCATTTGGGGACCTGTGAGGTATCTGTTTCTCAAACTAGAGACTCTAATGTACTTATCTTCTTGCTGACTTGTGCAACGTGGCCTCCCACCTCTTTTTCTACTCTGGTTAGAGCCTGTTTGTGCTGTCCTCTGAAGGGAGTAGTACACACCATTGTAGGAAATCTTCAATATCTTGGCAATTTTTCGCATGGAATAGCCTTCATTTCTAAGAACAAGAATAGACTGTCGAGTTTCAGATGAAAGTTCTCTTTTTCTGGCCATTTTGAGCATTTAATTGACCCCACAGATGTGATGCTCCAGAGACTCAATCTGCTCAAAGGAAGTTCAGTTTTGTAGCTTCTGAAATGAGCTGAACTATTTTCAGATGTGTGAACATGATTGCAAAAGGGTTTTCTAATCATCAGTTAGCCTTCTGAGCCAATGAGCAAACACATTGTACCATTAGAACACCGGCGTGGTAGTTGCTGGGAATGGGCCTCTATACACCTATGTAGATATTGCACCAAAAACCAGCCATTTGCAGCTAGAATAGTCATTTACCACATTAGCAATGTATAGAGTGTATTTCATTAAAGTTTAGACTAGTTTAAAGTTATCTTAATTGAAAAGTACAGTTCTTTTCTTTCAAAAATAAGGAAATTTCAATGCGACCCCATACTTTTGAACTGTAGTGTACATTTACATCTGTGTTCCTTGATTTGAAAGTTCCCCTGTGGGGTATACAATAAGAGACATTGTACATTCCATCCATGTTCAAAAGTATCATTGTGACACTCACAGCCGTAGTCCACCTGGACAATTCGGACGCACTTTGTGGCAGCGAAAACGTCCACCACTGCGTAGAGGGGCTGGCTGGCGGGGATCCCCCTGGCCGAGGCGCCCATGTCCTCACCATTGATCACTATGTGCATGTCGGCCAGGTTTTGTCCTTTAGGAACGTACAGAACTCCTATCCGGCTGCGTCGGGCTGTTGGAGGCAGGGCGTTGGTCTTATACAAATCGTCCAAGATGTGGCTGAAGCGTCCAGGTCTGCTCCGGCCGACCAGCTTGTCTCTGGGAATTTTCACGTCCTCGATGTGCAAGTGGGTGTCGGTGAAGAAGGTCTTTGGCTTCAGGTTGTCTCCCTGAGCCCCATTCTCCGCTTCTCCTCGCCCCAGCCGCTGCCCCTCAACCAGTCCGGGGGCCTCGGCCTCCTCCTCTACGACTTTATTGTGGTTGCGGGTTATAGCGAACACCCAGCTGTCCCCCAGTTCGGTCAAATCCGGGATGGAGTATTCGGGGACCGCGCTTAAGCTCCTGGGGTCCCTGGCCGTCAGGCCGACCCGGAGGTGACCGCACCATCCCAGCTCCTTGTCCTCGATCTCGATGAGGAAAATCTCTCCAGGCTTCAGAGGCCGTTTGCTGAAACAAACCCCGTTAGCAAAGCTGTCTACCCGAGTGGCCTGGGTTCCCGAGAGGTCCAGCCGGACATTGGTTCCATGGATGGGGTGAAATTCCGAGAACTGGTCCAAAAACGGCTCCATGCTTTTTTCTTTTTTTTTTAGATTCGTTTGCTATTATTCGCAATCCGGTTTACAAAGTAAAGCATACTTTCAATAGGATATCCGAGGAAAGTTTTCCGACCAGCAG